ATTCAGTGTTCAGTTTTAGCAGTGTGTTGCTGTGCTCCAGTGTTCAGCATTCTCCGTCGGCAGCGGTGTCGCTGCAATTCGTCCGACTCAGCCCCACCAACCCGAGTATTCAACTATGAACTTTTAGTTGTGCAGATAAAGTCCGTTTTGGTCACCAAGCACATACAGCCACATCGTCATTCATCCAAGCCTCGTCAGAAGATGGCCGTACCATCGTCCGAATAATCTGCGTAACATTAGTAGTAACGTCGTCATAACACACACACATGGAAAAACATACATATCCGTATGCATGCACAAGGACAACATATCCATAGAAACATACACACATATCCATGCGCAAGCATATTTTAGACTTAATTTGTTTTCATTCGCGCAAATCTGCACATGCAAAACTGCAAAAAAGAAACGGAGAAAATAAATGCCAGGTTCTTCATATTGCAAACAAATAAATGGCGCAAACAGATTATTTAACATTAAGCAATTAAAGGAAAGGCAAAATTATGGGCTACTACTGGGAAGCTAATGAACCAGAACAAATCAGAAGGAAATAAAGAAGTCAGAAATGGCATAAGTAAAAGAAAAAAGTACCCCCTATAGTGAAATCACAAGCACATGCGTATGGCAAATTAAGGGGACGGGACCAGGCTAACGAGTACTCCCTAAAAGGGTTAGCTATACAGAATATCGAAGCAAGCGTTCCAAGAAAACTCAAAAATTTGGTGATAAATGAAATGAGCTGAAGAAATCAACCTTTTTATCGGCAACTTGTGGATTCAGCAGAACATCTTCCAGCGCCTTTTCATTCAGCTGGAATCCTTTTTCCAGCCCTTCGATGATTTGGACTGGATGCCCTTGAACTGGAACTATTTCTGATGCCTAAATGTAAACAGATGGCTGAAATCTTTTCAAATAAAGCATTTCCGCGGAAAATGAAAAGGATTTCGGACTAACACACTGGAAAACGTTGTTGGACATAGCACAGTATAACCGTCCAGTAGGACGAGTCTTCGACTGCACCGATGGGGCAACTAATCCCTCTGTGATTTGTCACTCGCACAAGCCGGGGAATTAAACTGCTATCAGCTTGGTTGCAAGCAAATCTCGGACTACTCCAGAGAGCAACAGCAAGACGGGCTGGAGTGCCCGCGGTAGATTCACTACAGACGTCTCGCACGTTTTTCAGCTTCTGTCCACAGTGTACGCGCAACTTCTCAAGTGCTTCCTTGACCGGTTCATCCTTTTCTCGCGTCTACCACTGGCCAACAAGCAGTGCCCATACGCAAAGCAAATGCAGACTGAGATGCACCAGGTTTGCCGGTGTGATCATGCGTTTTTGCACCAAACTTGAAGCATTCAGGTCGTTAAGCACGTGAATGTTTGTTGCTTTACACCCACCCTGTGCACTCAGCACCATAAATCATCGCAAACTCTGTATAAACAAAAATAAAAAATGATCCAGCTGTTCAAACAAGCAATTTTCCCACCACAAAAAAAAAAATCGAGTGCCCGTAAACAAGAACCACGCGTACCTGAAGACTGAATTTGAAATCTTTATGTTTCATTTGGACGGGGAATA